AACGTATAGGTTTTAAACTAATCAGATAGGGAGCCTTTATACGCAAGCCAACAACATCAGATGCGAATTTTAAGAAAGCACGATTGTGGTTTAGGCAAAAACACGATCATGTTTTTGCTTCGAATACCTGTTTTTTGCGTTTAATGAAGTACGTTGCTATTCTAGACACTTTTCTCAAAGGCACGGTCGTGTTTTTCCCTGGAGGCCCCGAAACTTGATTTTTGGCTTGGAAAAGTTGCAAAGATGAAGCATGATCACATGGTGAAAAACACGATCTTATTTTTCATAAAATGCATGTTTCGGATTCGAACTCTTCAGTTTCAACAAATCCAACCCAGGTTCCAACTTCCTCAGGTATTTTAGCTTCATTAAGCTCCAAATATGCGTCCAATCTGCTTCCAAAGTACCGTTCCACACGAAATATCTAAAATCGACATAAAAATATGAGTAGTACGAGAATTATAGTGATAAACATGAGCTGAACATTATGTATACTAATACACATGAAAAAGCATAAAATATGATACATAATGCTAATAAAAACTACCATAAAAGAAAAATAAAGTGGCATCTATCAAATCTCCCAAACTTAAACCTTATTTTCCCTCAAGTAATAAAAAGATGAAACTTTATGAACAAAATAGAAATATGTAGATGACCTAAAAAAGGAACTTAGGAGAAAAAATTAAGGAAACTAGAACACTTCACTCTTTTTTTTTATAAATTTTTTTACTATTTTTTTTTCCTTTCATCGTTTCTTTTTTTTTTTCACACGACCAGACTCTACAGCGAGGAAGCTCGAATGTACTCACTACTTAGACGACTATTTCAATACCTTCCATCTTTCACAGACTCTCACAGTCAGGAAAAAGCTCGAGAATGTGAACCAATAAACCAACTATAACTTTTATTTAAACTTTATACCTTAATTAACCTTGTTTACAAAAGTAGCAAATTTTAGAATGTCATTTCCTTTTTACTTGTAGCTTAAAAACCAAACTCGGTCCATCCTTAAGGACCCACTTCATGGCCAAATCAGACTTATCGAGCAAGGTTCTTTCTAAAAATTATCAGGAAATTAGTTCTAAATTTTTTTTTTTTTTGCTTACACATCGTTTTGATATACAATTCTTTTGATTTTTTTACGGTTGGCGTCTCGGCTCATGGTGATTTGAAACCCCTAATTAAGAGAACTATTACTGAAATTACCGTTATTGATCTGGTCGCTTCGAACTTTAATTTTCCACATTTTCAGAGCTATCGAATGCAAAGAATGTCATCATCTAATATATATATATATATATATATATATATATATATATATATATACACACACATATATATATATATATATATATATATATACACACACACACATATATATATATATATATATTTGAATTTTTGAAATTTTCATTTTTTATGTAGAAAAAAACTAACTAAAAATAAAATGTTTTTGGTTTTTTCCTTTTTTGAATAATGCAGAAAAATAGAAATTACAATGAGAATATTTTTTGAACTTTTTCTTATATTTTTTTTCCTAAATGCAATGCAGAAAATAAAATGCATAAAAGAAAATTGAAAAAAAATTAACTAAAAAACTGAAAATTTTAAATTTTTTTAACAAAAATGCAATTTTTGACACTACTCCCCTCCTCAAGCATAAAATGAAGCATTATCCTCAATGTTCAAAAAGGAATGCACAACTCGATAAAACATATAAAAACTTGCAGCTAGGAAAAAATGTACCTGATATGTTTGGATAAATTTCTGTTTTGACGAAGGTGTTAGCGAAAAATCTGAATTTTAGCAACTTAGAAGATCCTCTGATTCACTTTTTTCCATGTAGCATTTTTTAAAATAATCCTTCGATAGTAGAAATGCACTTTGATCATGTTTTGAGGATTAATCGCAGATGGTACTCTACATAAATAGAAAAAAGAAGTTGTGTAAAAAAGGCAAGTCAATTGTTCAAGGGTGTGGTTTATTGGATTGTGCTTTGCATCACAATTGGCATTTTATGTCTGGAAAAAGTAACACGAAAGGTAGATGAACAAATTGTTTGCTAGGCCTATGATTTTTATCAAATGGTGGGTGTGGGTCATGAATGTAAAGGCTTTTTTCATTCCTTTTTTCATATAATTGGAAGTAGGATGCTATATTAATAAAATCAAGATTTTCTTTCCCAGGTGGTCAATGATAGTGTTGCATATTTGTGAATTCAGCATTGGTAATATATGTACATATTCAACACTAAAGGGAACTTCAAATAGAGTTTAAACAACTATTATTTTCTTGGGGTTTTAGCTTTGGAAAGAAGCAAAGGGGTAAGAGAAGAGACAAGGAAATGGTGAGAAAGAGATTTGGTTGGTTTTGTTTATCTATAAGATTGTTTAATTAGTCTAATTTATTTTTTTTCATGAAATTTAGTCTCATGTGGTGTTTGGTTTGTCGGATTTCATACAATTTTGTCGGAATTGGAATTTAATTCCAACTAATTCTGGTGTTTGATTGTAAAAGTGTAAGAAATTGATAATAAAAAGTGCCTTTAAATTGTCATCTCTGTTGATGTACCATTCTCACAAAAGATGCATACTAATTGTTTCTTACCCCCATTAATCCAATTCACTGTAACTATTTCTCAGTATTAAAGGCTACACCTTTCACTATGATTATAGCCATACTTTAATGATATGTGACACAGCTTAGTAAGAAGTAACGAACGAGGCAAAGTTAGTGTACCAAGCACGCGGAGCCTGTTTAAGTCCATACAAAGATTTCCGGAGACGACAGGCCTGAAATGGAAATCGACTATCAACGAATCCAGGGGGCTGGTGCATAAAAACCATCTCGTGGAGATCGCGATGGAGAAATGCGTTCTTGACATCTAACTGATGTATTGGCCAACCTTGTGAGTCTGCGAGACTGAGAACTGTGCGTATAGTAGCTGGCTTCACGACAGGACTGAATGTTTCTAAACAGTCGAAACCTACTGTTTGTGACCCATTGACCACCAGTCGTGCTTTATAGCGGTTAAGTGTTCCATCAGCTTTAAGTTTGTGACAAAACAACCACATACATCGAATAACAGGGCTGTTGGTTGGCCGGGGAACAAGTTCCCATGTTTTCTTTACCTGTAAAGCTCGAAATTCATCTTCCATGGCTCATAGCCAATTAGGGTCAGACATGGAGGCAGAGATGGATGTAGGAATTGGAGAGATAGGTGGAGTAGAAGAGGTATGGAGGTTTAGACGGGTAACAGGTTTGGTTACTCCTGCCCGTGTACGAGTGGTCATGGGATGAATAGGAAGGTAGGGTTGAGGGGGAGTTTGAGGTGGAGTGGATTGAGGATGGGTTGTTGTAGGTGAAGGTGGAGTGTGGGAGGGAGGTATGGGTGTTGATAAAGGGTCGGTGGTGGTGGATGTTGCTTTTGACCGGCGAGAATAGGTCAAGATAGGAGGGTGAGGAGATGAGGAGGTGGAGTGAGGTGGTATTGAAGATTGGGTAGGGGTGGTGGAATGAGGTGGTGGTGAAGGAGGAGTAGGGTTGGTGGATGTGGAGTAGGGAAATGCATGAAGAGGGGAGGGGGGGTCATCAAGAAAGTCAAAAGATGTGGAGGGGGAGGGGTATTGGCAAAGGGAAAAGAGGTTTCATCAAATGTAACATGTCGAGACAAATAGAATTTGCCAGTTGATGGATCAAAGCATCGATATCCCCAAAAGTTTTCCGGATAACCAAGGAAAACACTTTTGACGGATCTTGGTTGGAGTTTATGAGATTGAGTGGATGAGATATTAGGATAACAAGCGCACCCGAAGGTGCGGAGATGATCATATGATGGTTGACGACCATAGAGAGAGAAGGCAGGTGTGGAAAAATTTAGGCGTTTAGTAGGAAGGATATTATGAAGGTAGGCGGCGGTGTGAAGAGCTTCGACCCAAAATGAGTGGGGAAGAGAGGCATGAGTAAGAAGGGTACGGATAATGTCATTAATGCGACGAATCATCCGTTCGGCTCGTCCGTTTTGTTGGGAAGTTTGAGGGAAAGAGAAACGGAAGACGAGACCTTGAGTGTGGGCAAAGGATTAAAAGTCATTATTATCGAATTCTCCCCCGAGATCGCATTGGAATGACTTAATAGTTCGGTTAAATTGTGTATGGATAAGCTTGTGAAATTTTATAAAAGTGAGAAATGTGTCAGATTTATATTTGAGGGGGTATACCCATACATAATGAGTGAAATTATCAATAAGGACCATATAGTATTTGTAACCAGATTTGCTTAAGACTAGACTGAGGATGTCCAAAGATCACAATGTATAATGTCAAATGGTGCGTAAGTAACAGATTGTGAATCATAAAAAGGTAAGCGAGTATGTTTAGATAATTGGCAAGCATTGCACAAAGAAGAATTTATAGGTTTATTACAAGAAATTGAAAATTTTGAACGAAGTAAATCTAAAACAGGAGCGCCCGGGTGACCCAAACGAGCATGCCAACGATCATGAGAAGTGGCAAGCAGAGCAGTAGAACTGGAAGGTGCGGTGAAGGGGTAAAGATCTCCCGTGCTATCATGACGAGAAAGAAGAGCTCCAGTCTTGAGGTCCTTTATAGAAAAACCAGATGGGTCAAATTCAACAGAAGCTTGATTAACGATAATAACTTACGACTAGATAAAAGATTTTTAATAACGGATGGAGTAAACACGATATTTTTTAGAGTATATGAATGAGAGGGGGTAGTGTAAGAAGCATGACCAGACCCATGAATTGGCATACTAGAGCCATTTCCAACAAAAATCGATGTTATAGGCAAAGTAGTTATGGAACTTGAGATCTTACCCTGATCAGATGTAAGATGTGTCGAGGCACCGGAGTCCATATACCACGCCGGATCATTGGAATCAAGATGAACTTGCTGCATTGTCTATGCTAAATCTGACAGACTGTAGTCAAAATAACCAACAAATTGAGGAGTGGGAGTAGGCGTCAGGCCTGATGGCTACATCGGAGGTCTAATTGGCCCATGTTGTGTTGTGGGTCCAGAATATTGACACTGGCCCGTAGGTGTGATTAGCCCAGTGATTTGTGGATTGATTCGTCCATGAGAAGGGTATGGTGATGGAGGTGGATACCATGATTGCGATCCATTCCATCCTTGTTGTTGCCATTGATTTCCTTGGTTCCAGTTTTGGTGGCCACGACCGCCACGTCCCCTGAAGCTTTTGCCACGTCCTCGACCAGTAAAGCCTAGCCCGCGAGTGCCTATACCTCTGGCCGAGTAGTTGTTGTAGGGTTGACCTTGATTGCGTTGACCAGCTGCTTCGTTTTGTGATGTCCTATCGACAGAAGTAGGAGCAGCGAGAACCGTGTGGGTTTGATTTTGTCTAGCTTTTTGTCTGCGTTGTTCAAGTTGTAACATGCTGCGAGCTGTTTCAAAGGACGGAGAGCTTTGATTGATGTAGGCCCCGACAACATCAAACTCCGGTGGTAACCCACGAACCATTTGTAAGACCAGTCTAGACTCAGTGACTGGGTTCTCAACATCTCCAAGCTGATCAGCAAGATCTTTAAGTTTTTGGCAATAAGATTTCATAGACGAACATGCTCCCAAGGTAAGACTTGTGAATTCCTGTTCAAGGGCTGCTGCACGTGACCCTTTGTTGTTGAGAAAAGTTGATTTGAGTTTATTCCAAGCGGCTTGGGCAGTGGTATCAGTCTCTAAGATGCGGACCATCAATTCATCAGACAAGGTGTTGTATATCCATTGAAGGACATGTGCATCGATTTCAGCCCATTGGAGGTACTCGGGATCTGTGTCAACTGATGCAGGAGTGTCATCAATATGATCGAGAACCTTGTAAGCCTTGGCGTGAAGACGAAACAATTTTTTTCCAGGACGAGTACGTGACTTTTGAGCCATCCAATGTTCGGATCTTTGTCTGGATGTTTGTGACAGTGTAGGCAGGGTGCAAGGCCGTGGCCTTCACCTCACCTGAACCAGAAGCATCTTTTGTCATGGAAGAAGATTGAAGCAAAACCGTGGCTTTGTTCTTAAAAAAAATCGGCCGTTAGGGTTTAGGTAGGCTCTGATACCATAACAACGATTACAGATCTTGAATGAATTGCTTTATCTTGCGTTAATGAATAAAGCCCTATATATAAATAGGGAATAAGATACAATTGGATATACCCACATATAGGGGATATATAATAGGAAATTATATAAAAGATAATTACAAGATATATAAATATCTTCCTAAGATATGATCGGCTAATACTTAGTTCATTAGAGTGTAGAAAAATACCAACATGATTAAGTCTACAAACATAGCAAAAAAGTCATATTTTATTACAGGCGCATGACCTGGTTTTCCCGTATCATCCCACTTTGCGAGTAAAATAGTTAGTGTTGATAATTCTGCTTTCATTTTTCTTCAAAATTTGTTTATTAAACATAGTTGTAGAAAAAAAAATTAATAATAACTTTAATATTTTTTTAATAAAGGGAAAATTTGTTGTTTTGTAATTTTTTACATTTAAATCCTATTAACAAAACCGATCAATACAAATAACTGGATAAATGTAATTGAATTCATTTTCATTTTTTGCCAACCAAACACAAAATTGAATTGAAGTTTTTCATATTCAAAATTCTTCTGATTTCAAATACTATTTCAATTTCTACCAAAATATTCTACAAATTAAACACCCCTAAATACATTTTAACATATATACATGAAAAAGAAAAAATTAAACGCCCTAAATAAATTTTATCAAATGCTAGGTGTATGTCTTAAATTTTTTAATAATTTGTTCTAAACATTAGTTTTGAACTATTATTTTAAATATTCACTAAATATTTTGTCGTTAAATATGTTTGCAATTAAAAATATAGGCGTTCACTTTGTTAGTTTATCCTTTTAAAATCATTTCCAAATCTCTATTTTATCTTCTTTTTTCCCAAAAAGTCCTCCTTATCGCTCCAAATCTACTAATACATGTGCCCCAAATTGCCCTTCCACTATCAAAGATTCCATTATTGATGAGTTTCTCAAATTACCTTTGGATAAATTATGTGGCAGGAATTATTGCATAGCAGATAGCCACATACTTATCATTTTAAACAGAAATAGCAAAATACTTATCTGTTTTGACAAATAATAGCAATATACTTATGTTTTTAACCAATAATAACAAGATGCTTTTATTTTCAACAAATAATAACAATATACTTATCTGTTAATTCCAAAAAATAGAAACATACTTATCTTTTTATCCATTAATAACAACGTACTTATCTTTTTTTACAAATAATTGCAAACATACTTTATCTTTTAAAAAATAATAGCAAAATACTTATGTTTTCAACTTATAATAGCAACATACTAATCTTTTAATCCACGAAACGCAACATACTTATCTATGTTTGATGGTATAAAAGAAAGTAGAATGAATACTATTTTCAACTACTCTTGCTCTTTCAGGGACATTTATGTCTTATTTGGTGGTTTATTGATGTTGTTGAGGCGTGACCTGTTAATTGCAGCTAAGTTTCAGCTTGCTCAGAGGTTATTCATCCTCAAGAGGAAGGTAAAACACCTTTTTTTTTATGTCTTTCTAGAACTATTTTTAATGATGAGAGCATTTTCTTCTTTCTCACAAAAGGCCCACCTTTTTAGTTAGGACAAAGCTTACATAATTTATTTATTTTGATATATTTTATTTATTAATGAGTAATAGATATAATTTGGTATTGAAGGTACGTCGTTGCCAAAGTAATGAGAATTAATAAAAAAAATCAGATGTAAAATATGTTTGACAGCTTTAACTTCTCATACATTGAATGTACCTTTTGGGGCTATGCTTAGATTAGTTTCTACAATATGAACATGACAATTTCTAATTGAAGTGTATATTACCTATTTGTCATAAATCTTAATGCATAGTCTTATATTAAATGAATAAACAAACATTTGATAGGTTTTATGATTTGAAATCTGATATTTGACAACATGGAAAAAATTATATATATCTCATTCAAATATCCGAAAAATTGTGTTTCTAAACAAGTTACAACACCATTCTGTGTAACATATTTATTTGTTTTAAAAAAAACAACAATCTAATTATTTATATTTTGTTCTAGTGGTCCTCCTACCAATCGTTATAGAGTCAAACATAAGGATGAAAGTGAGTCCAAATTTAGGCACTGATGGACCCGGACCTAGAAAACCCGAAAACCGATTAACGAGATTTTGTAGGACTGGCCACCAAACCGGTATATGGAAACTGGTTCGGTTCCACGTACAATACCGGGAAAAGTGGGTCTAGAACCGAAAAAACCGGAAACATCAAAGTAAGTCAAGTGGAACCGGGTAAAGTGGGTCTAAAACCAGAAAGCCCAAAAACCCGGGAAAACCATAATTTTTTGGAAATTACTTAGTGGGTTGAAATTTGAAAATTTTCATCTTTGATATCCCGACTTTAGGAGACTGTAAGCCATTGAATATTAAACCAAAAATAACAAAATTATAGTCTAAAATCATGTACAAAATGTAAACTATATGTTGGAAAAAATGCATAATAATCCGATGTCAAACGAAATAGATATATATGTTTTAAATTTTTCAGAGAACACAAAAAAAAATGCAGAAAAACTGAAAATTTTCAACTTCGATATCCCAGATTTGGGGTACTATAAGTTAATAATACGAAACCAAAAATGATAACATTAGAGTTTAAAATCATGTATGAACTCTAAGCTACACATTGGCAAAAAAAACCTTATGATAATTCGACTTCAAACGAATTAGATATGCATGTTTTCAAATTTTTCACAAAATACAAAAAAACTAAAAAAACATAAAATTTCTACATTAGATATCCCGACTTTGGGAGACTGTAAGTCAATAAATATGAAACCAAAAATAACAAAATTATAGTCTAAAATCATGAATAAACTCTAAAATATGCGCTGAAAAAAACCTTATACCAATCCGACTTCAAACAAATGAGATATGCAAGTTTTAAACTTGTCCCAGAAACCAATTCCGACTCCTAAAACCGGTTCCGATTTTTAAACCCTGTTTACCCGGACCCGAAGGACATGAAACCCAGATAAAGCCATTATTATTTAAACCCAAAACCCCAACCAGTTCTACATATTCCAGTTCTAACTGTCTCCGGTTTTAAATCTCATCCCTATCAATCATAGCCGATCTGTTTCTTACAAACACAAAGTTGAGCATAAGTAAAAAATATTGGAATGTTACTTCTATGGTCCCTACTTAAAATAAAGATAGAACTTAAATTTCTTGATTATTTTCCAAATGTAGGGTAGATCATCAGGTTTGATGTGGTCAATATGACATAACTTGTAGACACAATAAACCTCTTGAAATCACTGGTCCCTCCTTATTTTGATATTTTCACCGAGTCCCTATCCTTTATTAGGAACATCAACATTGTCTTCCAGCTTTACCAGATCTTTGCCAACTTTAATTCCACCAAGCTTATAGAATAGATGACTGATTGTTGTTAATATCAATGAGCAGAACAACAGTAGAAAAATCCTAACAAAAGATATACAGATAACACAATAACAACACCATGTATTTGTTTCCATCCTTTGACTCATTGAGCTGAACTTTATAGACTCGCTTTCATGTGGCCACAATTTTCTAAACTTAACTCAAGTTAATAGCTAAATGTGGAAGTCACTTTATATAAAGAAATAACACTACAAAACAACTATTGAAGAATGACGACTCCCATGCAGATCCTGAATTTACAAACAAATAATTTAAAGTACAATGTGAGTTTATTTGACATAATATAAATCATCAAATCATCACCTGTATACAAATAGTTATAAAAATCAAAAGACAGCATGTTTATTATAATGTCAAAACATTTCTCAAAAAAATTGCTTGTACTCTGTGTTTTTGGCTTCCTGGGTTAATAGTGAAAAGTAAGAACACCAACATCGTCCTCTATACTGCCATTAAACAAATATTTTTCCTTTCCTATGCTTTAATGTTAAGGGATAATGGACCCTTCCTTCAAGAGCGGGAAATGGGGAGTGAGGTCTGAAACCCTTGCTATCCCCCCTCTTCAATCTTGCCTGACAACAAAAAATAACATAAAGATGTAATCAATTGAAAATGAAGAAAATAAATAACAAATAAATTTATGTAAAGAGGATTTGATCATGAGATAGTAAGCCATATTTCTTTGAGTTTGGAAATCATAGAAACTCCATTGAATTAAAATCCATTAAAGATCATCCAAAACTATTTGCCATAAAATGATAAATAACCAGAATATATCTCAACAAACCTCATCGGATCCTCTTTTTCCTCTGTTGGAGATTTCACCTTCTACAAATCCATACACACCCAAGGACTAATAAATGAATCTGCATTTGAAATTATAGGAACCAGATCAAATGTTAACTTATAAATGAAATCATATTCAGGAAGAAATATCAATTAAACATAATCAAACATCAAATAATCAAAATTAAACTTGAAAATCAATAATATTCTGGGACGGGTGTTGGTTTATACAGATCAAAAGGAGATAAGGTTAGATATTGGTAGCGGAAAAGGATGACCGGTGACTGTTTAGGGTTCATTGTTGGAGATATTGACGAATTGAAGGAGAGCGATGACGTCGGCCAAAGGTTGTAATAGGATCTAGGGAGAGGAATAAAGGTTTAGACCCGATTTAACACCTATTCCAGGGTTGAATTTAACGAAGGAAAAAAATTGATGAAAGTGACAAGAAAGTAAAAGGAATTGTGTTCCTGAATTTCATTAAAGGAAGAAATGGGAAGGAAACAAAATGATCATTTTGTCTCATAACTTTCCTGCCAATTTGGAAGGATTTGGAGAGAAATAAACAAAATGTTTAATTTTCCTTCCACTTCCCTCCAACTTGTGAACATGAAATACAAATTTCTTTTCCTTTTCTTTCTCTTCTTTTATCTCCTTACATTTTCCCCCTTTTTTTCTTTTCTTTGCTAGAACTCGGGAACTAAGCATAAAGTTGGGTAGGAGAACAAAGCAAAACGAAACAAAACGAGCGGAACTAAAGAGACACGCCTGGTGTTTTATTCTTGCGTCAATGATTGTACTTCAAAGTGTTAATTTAAGACTTTTGTGCATAAAACTGTTGTACATTATCTATGCATTATAAGAATGTAAAGATATAGATATATTAAATGATTATTATCAACATTTGGACTTTTGATAACAACCTATAAAAATAGATTTTGGGCCACACTTTTTATTATAGGATATATCCTTGGAAATTTTAAATTTTATTTATATATCCTTATAAATTTTATAATTAAATATATATCCATCTCAAACTATAAAACTCACTTTCATATCCAAATTCATAATTTAATTATTTTTGAATTATTTTAATATTAAAAAACTTAGAGTAAATTACACGAATGGTCCCTATGGTTTAGCGTAATTTGCACGTTTGGTCCCTAACTTATTTTTTTAACTCGGAAGGTCCCTACTGTTTGTTTTTGTTACGCATTTGGTCCCTGTTTTACTTAAAAATACTATTTTTCACTTGATTTTTTTAATTTATTTAAATAAACACACCCCCAACCCCACCCCATCACCTTACCTTACATACCCCACCATTTTTCTCTATTTAAATAATAGTCTTTTTAGGTAAGACAGGGACCAATCGTGTAACAAAAACAAACAGTAGGGACCAAGCAGGTAACAAAAACAAACAATAGGGACCTTCCGAGTTAAAAAAATAAGTTAGGGACCAAACGTGCAAATTACCCCAAACCATAGGGACCATTCGTGTAATTTACTCAAAAACTTATTTAGTAATCAAAATTCTGTTTAATTTTACTAAAATACCCTTTGCAAATTAAAGATTAGAATTAAACCAATTTAATTAGAATTAAACCTAATTAAATATTACTAAGCTTCCAACACGTCATTCGCTTCATACCACCAAAGCTTCAATCATTGTCTAAAACTTTAAAGACGGTTGCATTGTTAAAGATACACTATGGATTTGTCAATTGTGGTCAAACGACTATGTATACATAAAGGATTGCTTGAAAGAAGTCATCTTTTTTCAAGAGATGAAGCAAACAAAAGTTTGATCGTAAAAATATAAAAGTAATATTTAAAATTTCTAAGCATATAAAAGTAATATTTAAAATTTCTAAGCATATAAAAGTAATATTTAAAATTTCTAAGCATATAAAAGAAATTATCCCTTTTATTATGGTCTTTTGGGCCCAAATATCTAAAAAAATCTTAATGTGTTAGTCAGCCGGGGCCACAGGAGACTAGGCTCTAGCGATACGAGGACCAATTGTTTCAGTCAAATGTCATATACTACGGTTGATTTATCTATATATGGTGACTGTAAAAACACAAATATGTGGCATATGATATACTCCCTCCGTCCCAAAATTATTGTCCACAGACAAAAAAACACACAGAATAATGAAGCATTAATTACCATTAACTTTATACAATAAAATGACAGTTTTGTCCTTACTTTGCATTTAATGTTCTATTAAATGCTTAGTTGGTTAAGTAATGATGAGGGGTATTTTGATAAAAATGTTATTTATTTTTAGAAGTGGACTATTATTTTGGGACAAACCAAAAAAGAAAAATCGACTATAATTTTGGGACGGAGGGAGTATTTCATAGGACAAAACAAAGAAAATGAAACTGGAATACTGATGCAGCTCACTCACCTTCCTTGAAATCATTTCTATTCCCTCTGTCTTTACATCATTGAACGGGTATGTGTATCCTCTGGAATGTGTGGAGCTTCTGGATAATGATATAGAAATCATAAAACTAGTGCTACTCCCCTTTCTTGTTCTTTTTTTGATTCGTACCCAGGTCCAACAGCTGTTTCATGTTATTTTGAGCCTTTTACGCAGACCCATTACTTATGATGTGCATGTCTTTGATCTTCTTGGCACATATAGCAACATCCACAGCATCAACATCCCCACTAACAGTTACCGTCCATCTTTTGATATCGATCATAACCGAATTCACGCCATGTACAGCAGATAACGCCTTCAACATCTTCTTTTCTTTAGTTCGACTGTATGAGTCAATTTTCAGCACAATTTCCTGAAATGTGCACTATAATCTATCAAAGAAATATATAGGACCAGAAAATAATACTGAAAAAAACAGGAGATGATAAGAATCACTACGCTTTATAAAAGAATTATATAGAACCAGAAAACCGTACTGAAAAAAAAAAATAGGAGATGATAAAAACAGCACAGTTGAATTGTAGGTCTGATTGTTTCCGGAAGAAGTCCCTCTCGGGGATCAAAGGGGCAGTAGTAAACTTTATGGTGCGGCTAGGCCCATATGGAAATTTTGGCCCAGGATTTCCAATCAATCAATCCTGTGTAAGTAACCTCATGTTTAAGACCAAATCATGAGTACATTGTTCTCGTGTTGTCTGTCACACACACACACACACACACACAGAGATTTACTTCCATTTGTCGTGCTGGTCATTTGCGAATCTTGGTATTCTTTTCTATGTTTTTCATAGAAGACCTGGAAGGCTTCTACAAGACTTTGGCCTAAACCAAACATCAATATTGTGGTAGGTGTTTTAAATTTAGTTTGCAGGTTAACAGAGTTGAAAGGGGTTGATTAGGATATAGGTGTTGGGTTTAGTGGAGCCATGAAAGGCAAGTCACTTAAAGTTTAAGGCCCAAAAGTGTAAGTTGGCATAATATACGGTTTGTTCTTATTTTATACTTTTCTAAGTTGACGTTCAAAGGTATTCGCGATTTAATCCTTAGTGACGATGTGTGCATACGCAGTGTCAGGGAAGCTTCCAATAGTCTTCTAAGACAGAGGAAGAGGTTCCAACAGAGGAGGTGGTGGTAGAGGAAGATCGAAGTCGAGAAAGAGAGTCAATCAAGGAACACAAAGAGCATGAAATATATTACTTGATGGAGCTATAATAAGAAAGGTCATATCAGAAATCAATGCCCAAAGCCTTAACCAGATAAAAGACAAGAAAGATAAAAGGCAAGAAAGGTAAAGGCAAGAAGGAAGTAAATATAGTAGTAGATTCTGAAAATGATGTGCTCATTTGTTGTGTTGAAAATTCAAAAGAATCCTGGATCATGGATTCAGGTGCGTCGCTCCATGCTAGTCATTCGTTGGCAGCACAAAAGGAATGTCAGATTATCAGACAACAAGAGTTGTAATAATAAAGGTCATTTCATAAATCAGTGCCTAAAGCCTTCGACGGATAAAGGTAAGAAGGAAGTAAATATGCTAGCAGATTCTAAAAATGATGCGCTCATTTGCTATGTTGAAAACTCAACAGAATCCTGGATCATGGATTCAAGTGCATCGTTCCATGCTAGTCATTCCAGAGAAGTAATGCAGAATTTTCAGCAATACAAAGGGAATGTCAGATTAGTAGACAACAAGAGTCTAGATATTACTTGTGTTGGGGATGTGGTCCTCGAGACGACTTTACATACGAAGTGGACTTTGAAAAATGTCCGTTTCATTCTAGACTTGAAGAGGATGTTAATATCAATGGGACATCTTGATGATGAAAGTCTGGTGACCATCAGTGGAAGTTGACAAATGGAAACTTAGTCGTTGCTAGAGGTCAGAAGTAGGCTACACTATATACGGTGGAAGTTTTTGATGCTGAATCACATGTTGTTGGAGAAGTTTGGGCATCCACTCTATGACACCAAAAACTTGCACATATGAGTGAAAATGAAATGAAAATGCTAGCCTTCAAAGGAAGAATACCATATCTGAAGACTATGACTCATTTTGTACCCTGCGCTAAGACTTATGATGCAAGCAAAATTGCGAGATTGTATTTTTCTGAAATTGTCAAGCTTCATGGAGTTCCAAAGACCATCACCTCGGATCGGGATGTTAAATTTGTAAGTAATTTTTGGCGCACCCTTTGGAAAAGTATGGGTTCTAAGCTGCAATTTAGTAGCTCTCCCCATCCACAAACGGATGGTCAAACAAAAGTTACAAACCGGAGTATGGGCAATTTGTTACGAAGTCTTATCGGTGATAATCCCAAGAAATTGGATCTAACCAAGTTGAGTTCACCTATAACCGTTCCACGAACCGTATTACTGGATTGAGCCCATTCATGGTCGTATATGGCCGAAACCCCCTCACTCTGCTTGATTTGACACCTATCCCCATGTTCACCATGTTAGTGTTGAGGCGGAAGATCAATCATAGCAAATCAAAACTCTCCATCAGAAGGTTCATGATCAAATCATTAGACATAATACAACGTATAAAAATCGAGCAAACAAGCATAGGAAGCAAGTTGTCTACAAGGAGGGTGATCTGGTCTAGGTTCATCTAAGAAAGGATCGTTTTCCAGCTGGTCGTTTTGGGAAGTTGAAGCCCCATGCTGATGGTCCTTTACGAGTGATTAAGAAGATCGATGATAATGCCTATAAAATTGAACTAACTTGTTATTACAACGTGTCGGCTACTTTCATTGTCGCTGATGTATCGCCATTTATGGAGGGAACATATGAAGGAGCAGACTCGAAGGCGAGTCCTTTACAAGGCGGGGAGTATAAGGATTACTCTTGATACTGTAGGGCTCCAACAAGTGATCTATACATAGTAGGGTAGGAAAACGGTGATCCATGGGAAGTAAGCAACTCAGAAGTAGACAATGGGGTAGAGACATGTTTAGATTCGAGTAGACCAGCTCTTGTAAGTATGTCATGAACATACTTAGTTTGTGTGAGAAACAAACCATTTTCGGGATAAGTAACTTCAAGACCCAGAAAATAACTTAGATTTCCAAGATCCTTTGTTGCAAATTCATTGTTGAGACGAGTGATGAAAGTCTTGATGAAAGCAGAGTTGTTGCCAGTAAGAATAATATCATCAACATAAACCAGGATGTATAGAATATCACGATGTCTTTGAAACACAAAAAGTGACGTATCGGCACGACTACGGAAAAACCCACGACCGAGAAGAAAAGTGCTAAGTCGTTGAAACCATGCCTGTGGTGCCTGTTTAAGGCCGTATAATGCTTTCTTTAAACGAAAAACATGGTTTGGAAATCGTTCATCAAGGTACCATGGTGGTTGCTCCATAAAAATTGTGTTAGAGAGATGACCGTTTAAGAAGGCATTTTTTACGTCTAGTTGGTGGAGAGGGCATTTGTGTAGAATTGCAAGAGATAAAACAATGCAGACAGTCGAGGCTTTGACGATAGGACTGAAGGTATAAGAAAAATTCAAGCCCGAAATTTGTGTGAACCCTTGAGCAACAAGATGAGCTTTAAGTCGTTCAACGGAGCCATCGGCACGAAGTTTTGTACGAAAGATCCATTTGGAACCAACGATGTTTGCATTTTTTGGACGGGGTACCAAATCCCAAGTGTTGTTGGTTTTGAGTGCAAGAATTTCATCCTCCATTGCCATAAGCCAATGAGGGTGTTTGGAGGCAGATTTAAACCCTTTGGGTGTGGTGATAGTCAAGAGAGCATGATGTAATGCCGAGGGAGGAAGGTGAGCAAGATCAACCATATATTTGGGTTTGAAAATGCCTTTACATGAACGAGTGACCATGGGATGGAGCCAAGTAGGTTGTGGAGTTGGTGTCCGTTGTTGAACCGGAGTAGACACGGCAGGAGGTGTGGGGTGTGATGTCGGTGATGAAGATGGAGTTGCTAGTAACGTCTCATGAGGTTCCATGTTTGGGACAGGGGCAGTGTCATCAGATGTAGCTGAGGCGGAAGCATGAGTGTGGGAGCTGGTAGCATGCGTTGTACAGGTAGGACAAGTGTGTGGTAACGCTACAGATGTGGGAGATGTTGCCATAGATTCAGATGCCGAGACAACTTTAGAAGGTAAAACATGATCACGTTCATAGAAGCTTGCATATGGAACATCATTCAAGTTAGATGATGTAAAGTGGCCAACAAAGGGAAGCACGTGCTCATTAAATTGGGCATGTCGCGTGGTGTAGATACGATTTGTTGTTAAGTCTAGGCAACAATATCCTTTATATTGGGTGCAGTAACCAATGAAGATGCATGCCATGCTCCTAGGGAGCAAGTTTATAAGGAGCATAATCCCTTAAATAAGGAAAAACTCGACAGCCAAATGTTCTAAACACATCATAATTAGGTGTGTTATGATAGAGCAACTCGAATGGACTTTTGTTGTCAAGAAGTTTGGTAGGAAGCCGATTAATGACATAGACAGCATAGCTAAAAGCATCAACCCAATAAGCAGCGGGAGCGTGAGCATTAAATAACATTGCAAGCCCAGTCTCAGTAACATGTCCATGTTTTCGTTCAGCTCTCCCATTTTGTTGTGGGTGTAGGGACATGAGTATCGGTGATGAGTACCATTTTGAAAAAAGATGTTGCTAACTCGATGATTAATGAATTCGTTACCACCATCACTTTGAAATTCCTTGACTTTGCAAGAGAATTGTGTTTGCACCAATTTTAAAAAGGCATCAAGAATTGTATGAAAATCTGACTTGGCCTTTAACGGATAGAACCATGTGAAGTGTGAGAAATCATCTACAAAAATCACATAATAAGAGTATCCACTTGTAGAGATAATAGGTGCAGGTCACCATAAGTCACAGTGTATTAGATCAAGCACATGTAAAGAACGTTTAAAATTATTGTCAAAAGGCAACTGTTTGCTTTTAGAGAGTTGACAAGATGAACACAAATCAGGTTTTGGTAAAACAGATGTAACAGCTAAGAAACCTAATTTATTCTACAAAGAAATGATATCAAAAGATGCATGTCCCAATCTATTATGCCATAATTCAAAAGATGCTTTGAGTCTTCTACTTTTAAGTGCTGCTAAGAATGCCTTGCTGCCACGTTCCAGCACATACAGTCCGTTCTCACATTTACCCTTGATGAGGGGTTCCTTGGTTGCTCGGTTCTCAATGGCAAAGAAAGAATCAGAAAACAAGATATCCATGGGTGATTCGTTAGTCAATTTGCTAACCGATAAGAGGTTCTTGGTGAGATGTGGAACAACTAGCACATCTAATAGTTGAATGTCTTTGGAAAGATTAGCTTTGCCAATATGAGAAATGTTAAGAACATTACCGTTACCGAATACGACCTGATCCTTTCTCGTATATGTAGTTGATGAGTCAAGATTGGCATGTAAATTAGTCATATGATCAGATGCACCTGAATCAACATACCACGATGTTGTTGACATTGTATGGAGAGTGAAAAGCAGCAGCTAAATTTGCATTTGGAGACGAACCATTTTGAGCAAATGTAGACAAATCTGGACAAGAAGAAGCATAGTGTCCATTTTTCCTGCACAATTGACAATGTGGTGGTCGTTTACCACGACCACCGGATGAACCTCCACGAGAGGAGGAGGATCGTCCTCCTCGTGTACCTGAGTAGCCTCCACAGGAATTGTTTGTGGGGCGTTGAGTTTGTGCGTTGAACGCAGCAACAGCTGGGGTACTACTCGAACCATGCATAGTATTAATGAAAATTTCATGACTTTCGGCTTGAGCAAGTATGTCACGGAATTATGGCTTGGGTTTAGTAACTCGTATAGCAGTAGAAAAAGTTTCAAATGTGGATCCAAGACCTCATAAAAACCAGTGAGTTTTATCAGCATCAGAAATCAGGTGACCAATAGCAGATAATTGATCATAGATAAGTTTAAACTTCCTACCATATTCAAGAACAAAAGTGTTACCTTTCTTCAATTGGCGAAGGGAATCACATAGAGTTTGCATGCGTTCCACCGAATCATGGCTATATGTTGCTTCAAGAGCTTGGCAGAGGTCACGAGAAGAGGTGATACCAATAGTTTCTGCCATCGCTTCTTCAGAGAGGCTGGACTGAATAATAAGAGACGCTCGCTGGTCGGCTGCTAGCCATGTTGCATAAGCAGGGTTTGGCGTAGATGAGCCTTCTGATTCTTTAGAGGTGGCGAGAGGAGGTAGAGTGGAAGGCGGTGCAACAGCAGTTCCATCAACATGTGAAAAAAGTTGTTGATTGATCAAGAGAGGAGCAATCTGATTTCGCCAGAGAAGATAATTGGTAGAGGATAGTTTAACTGTTAGGAGATGTAAGATGGTTGCAAGAGGGAGAGTGGTTTCTGTGGAGGAGGGATCGCCGGCAGCCATTAGGGCAAACTAGTAGAGTCGGCAAAGATGAAGGAGGAAGAAGATAGGATCGGAATATGAAGCTGATACCATATAAGGATCATAATTCACGCTTAATGTTCCCATTTTATTGATTGAGATTATATAGTACAACAATTACAAGATAAGATACAAGATAACTTATAATTTAAATACATTTAAAATAAATCTAGAGATAATCACGTTTTATCTCTAATAGGGAGGAAATGATGCCAAAAGGTGGCAAAAATCAAATGGCTGGAAACACAAGGTAGAAGAAAACAAGAACACTGAAAATCTCGATGTTTTATCATCAAATAATATCCAAGAAAACTGCCTTGAACGTACAGGGAAAATACTCATAACCCTAGGAAAAAGACAGCTCAACTTTCCTAAAAATACTCCTAAGATTTAGATTAAAGATATATATTCTGTAAACATAAATTATCTTCCTATAAATCTCTTATTATTTGAAAACAATTCAAATAGGAATCAAATCAACTAAACAATTCACTATAACATTAAAAAAGTCAGCCAATAGGAGGATGTGATTGGATGCTCCTGCATCAAATGGATAGGTCCAATAGGCCACATTGGATCATCAATAATTAATATAAGATGAATAAAACCGATCCAATCAAGTATTCAACTGGATCGGTTTGGTTGACCACGGTCAATTGAATTGGTTCCACTCAAAAGCGTTGGATATGAACCAACGAACACCCCTAAATTATTACTTTTGATCTAGATCACAGATAAAATAATAGTAATTCATGCCAAAAGCAACTATTAAAGTATATACTTACTTTCATATTGGAAAAAAAGCTGCCTCTGAAAGTTTCCAATTCCATAAATGATGCAATTGAGTATTGTGTCGGACGAGATTTCCTCCATCCTAGTAACTCTATGATGTGATACAAGGATACATCATTTTTTGCTGCTTAATCTAGACTAAAAGCATCAGCACAAAGAGGAACTTACCCGTATAGGGAATGGGATCACCAAGTAACACCTTTACCCAATCAAGGGTTGTTGACTTGAAGAAATCACGGCGGCAAAGATAGTACCCTTTTGTAGTCAGCTCAAATTCAGATAAATCTCCTCCAATAACTTCTTCCTCTTTCATGTGATGTTCACAGCTTTCTTTCTCTACTTCACCATCATCTATGAACACAAGGCTGGCACCACACTCAGTTACATTCAATCCATTCCCCACAATGATGGACACATTGACTTCATCACCAGTGTCTAATATGTTTCCAATTGGCCAATAGCTTATCCATACAGCATCTTCACCAACTCCTGGTTGGCAATAGACCACAGGATTGTACATCCAAGTAAGGCCCTTGGTCGTATTACTAATTTTGGTGAACAAAACCCAGATATCTTCATCCTGGCCTGATGGTCTGTATAAAGCTGTTACTTGTAATCCTTGGATCCTTTGTTTCTTAGGACAAGACGGCACACGAAAGGATACATTCGGGGACAATGATCTATACTCAGATGCTGTGATGCTTTGATCAATTATTCCAGGCAGATATGTGTTCATTATGCCATACTCGTACAATACCTGGCCAAACAAATCGCAGAAATATCTACTTATTCATATATTAACCAGTTTGCCAGAGCCAAACAGGTGTGTTTTTGTGTACTTATGCCTGTATTTGTGTGTGTGAGAGAGAAAGGTACCTGGATATGCCACTTTCTGTTTCTAGTGATCTCATCACCCACCAGGTCCACCTCACGATCTTGATATGCTTTGATCCATTTCATGTGTCCCAAATCTACTTCATGAAGTTTTTCTATTGACACCAATTTGAAAAGGCCTTGAATTTCAGACACTTTGTTACAATCTCGATATACAAATTTCCGCAGCTTGAATCGAGCTGATTCGAATGTTATTTTCTCCAGTGAGAAACACCGATATGTATACAACTCTTCTAGCGTACTTGGGAGACATAGAAGGGACTTCAATTTTGGACATGAAGTCAATTCAAGTACCCGAAGCATTTTAAGATTAATGTTATTGGGCAGGACCTCCAATAGATTATTGCCTAAATTCAAGTAAAAGAATGGTTGGCCACTAAAAAACAATGGAATGTCATTGTTGTTCTCAAGGTTACAGTCATTGAGAAACAAAAACTTCAACGAGTCTGGTAAGGAAAACGATTGGCGTGGAATTCCTCCACCAGTACATGAAGATTTTGGCTTCTTATTCGATGAAACCTTCCACAGATTTGTACACCCTGTAAAGTCCAACAGAGAAAGGCTCTCAAGGCATTCAATTGTTTCACAAACATGAGTCAGCCTTCCACAGTTCCAGAGAATCAAAGTCTCAAGATTAGGAAGACGGGAAAGATTGTGGATACTGACAAGTTTGTGAGACTCTTTAAGATTCAAAATCTTCAGCGAATGAAGAACCTATTCCAAGAATAACAAGATTGATTTAAAATTATACATTCATACAAAATTTGTCCAAAAATGAGAAGCTATAAGTTCAAACAGGAGATCGAATTCCTACCATGGGTGGTTCAAACTTTTTCAAGTTTCCGAAACTCATGTCTATAGCCACCAAGCTGCTCATCAATAAGCCAGAGGGTATTGTTTTTAAAGGACATCCATGCCAGCACAACCATCTTAGTTCTGGTAAATTCTTGTAGGATCCTTTGAGTTTCACGTATTTCAGCTGAAGCAATTTTAGCTTGTCCATCTTCGCAAGTGAACCTGTTTTAAGGGCTAATGGCTGCAAGTATAGCATTGCGTGAATAGATTAGTATGCCTCATATACAAAGTTAAATGCAAATGCACCAAAAAAATATACAAAGTATCACAGCATAAGAGGCTTAAGTTATGGAGTCATCAGCTCTTTTGACGGGAACAGAAAAAAATTAGAGACAGGAATAGAAAGAGATACAATGCAAACTGAAGCAATAGCAAAAAACCCTGCTTCAACTGCCATATTTCCAATAATTAGAATTCCTGCTGATACTGAAGTATAACAATTTTGTATTAAGATAATCTCTTTCATTCTCGCTTTATAAGTACAATACATTAATTCACTTCTTTGGCTTACATTTGATCTCATCCCTTGCTCGAGCTTTCGCACGTCAAGTGCTAGACCTTCGATTGTCTCGGAACCCTAATGAAGAAAGACATTAAATGAGAGAAGGCTAGTTAACACAGGAGGTTTTGAAGGGAAAGTAAGTTTAAAGAAACACATAAAAAGCTCTTAATTACCTTTCCTTTTCCCAACAAACGATAAGATTCATAATTTTGTGAGACTCTACTATGTTTTGAAGGATCTTTGGATTCTTCAAGGACAATCTTTCTTCCCATCTCTTGAAGCAGTTGATGCATCACCAGTTTCTTACTTGATGAGATGGATAGAAGGCATCTGTTAATGAGGGTCATGATCCCAGCTTTTGCATGCCAGTCATGCTCCAATATCTTTACCACATAATCCTCATATTCACCAACAAAGAAAAAAGCAATATGCAAAAACAACTCTCTGTTACTGGCACGTGGTAAGGAATCAAAGCTCTTTTGAAGTATACCTTGGATTTTATCATCAACATCTCCTTCTAATGAATTCAGTGAATTCAATGTACTTCTCCAAATCTCGATTATGCTACTTCTTTTCCGTGGGTCTTCAGCATTAACAAATAGAGAAGACCCCAGTACTTTCAGAGCAAGTGGGTTTCCACCACAATACTGTGCTAACTGTAGTGCGAGATCCTTGAAACCCTCCATAGCATTTTTGGATCCAAAGGCATGGAAACTTAAAAGCTTTAGTGATTCATAGTCATTCAACAATCTGAGTTTGTACACCCAGCAATTCTGGGATAGGGACCCAAACCAAGCATGTATATCTAGAATCCTAGTTGTTACTATGATCTTGCTTTGTGTATGTAAACCCTTTGTTCCAAGTAAAGCACCTAACTCGTCATGTTCATCAATATCATCAAGAACAATAAACGCCCTTTTCTTCTGTAAGGCAGCCTCAACTTTACTTGTTCCCTCAGAAACATTGGATATCCTTTCATTCTTTCCCCCTAAAATGTCAGTGAGAAGTTGTTTTTGTAGCCCAAGTAAACCATGAGGAAGTTTGTAGTGTTTTCCAATCTCTTCAAGATAACTGGTGTTTTCAAAATATTTCTTGTTTGAGTTATAAATAAATTGGGCCAGTGTCGTCTTGCCACTGCCTCCCATACCACAAATTGCCAAGATGTTATCACCAGATTGCTTATTTTTCAACCAAGAATTGATAAATATAGTTCTAGAGTCCATTCCAATTAGATGAGGTGGAGTACTAACTAATTTCAAATCTAGTTTATAGTCAATTGTATCAACAATTTTTGCAATAAATTCTGATTCAGACCTGCAACAAAAGAAGAATGAAAATGAGCATGGCATTTGAACTTCTTAAGAACATAACTGCTTCAGTTATAGTGCACAGAATAAAAATGTTTTATGATGTGTACATAGTAACTTAGTAAGTGCGCATACAGTCTTATTGAATCCGAAATTTAATAATAAAAAGTCAAATATTTTATCTAGTAATATATACTAACGAGTTTGATTGAATTACAAAAACAGCCATACCCTGACAGAACCATGCCTGCCAAATCAGCAACCTCCTTAAGAGCCTTCTTCCACAGGTTTACGTTCTGTTCTGTCCACCTTGAACAGGCTTTGACATCGATTGCAAAAGTGTTTTTTTGTTTCCTGACATCAGAAGGGTCAACGTGGTAAAAAACAGGCAGAACGAAATGATTGCACTCCATCCTTTGTTGGAGGATCAACAGAAGCTCATCAAGGCACCACGTGGAAGTTACATAGTTCTCTGACAATACAACTATTGAACCCTTAGATTCTTTAATTGCTCTCTCGATCTCCGGCTTCAGTTCTTCGCCTCTATTGATTTCTTCGTTATCCATGAAAGTACCAATTCCTGCTCCCTTCAATGTCTTGTAAAGATGATCGGTAAAAGAATCACGAGTATCTTCCCCTCTAAAGCTTAAGAAAACGTCATAGCTGCTAGTATTAGCACCAGGAGAAACCATAATACTAGAGGAAGAACTGGAAGCCATTGAAATTGAAGAAGAACTGGAATGGACCTGCGACGATGGAAGATGAACCCTTTGACCTCGGTCTCCCAATATTACCAAAAACTAATCAAGTGGCCAAGTGGGTGTGGATTCGTCATTAGCAATAAAAAAATTTCCACTTTATGCAAATTAATGATCAAGCTCATGTACTCAAACTAGTCATATTTCACTTCCTTTTATTTTTTATATTTTTCTAAAAGATATTTCATATCAATATTATATTTTTTTTATAAACAATTAAAAATCATAAATTTTAATATAATTTTCAGTATGTATAATTTAATTAAATATTATAAACCCAAAAAAATTAAAAATACCATTTTTAGCTGTTGGCCAATAAAAAAAAAGAGAGAATGCAAGGAAAGGAAACAGTGAAGGTCTAATCCACACCACAACCACATATCTGTGGTGTTCTTGGTGCAATTCAGCAAACTACATACAGGGTATGTAGTATATTGTGTGGCCTTACCCACCACGCCGTAGACAAAAGTTTAAAAGTAATAATTAACACTAAGGTTGTCAAGATTGAGATCCTATGTAGGATCGTTTTTGGGTTTGCAAGATCGGGATTATAAGATCAGGATCAAGATCATAATCATAATATCCCAAAAAATAAAATATAATTTTAATTTATAATTTCTAATCTTAAAAATTATTTCATGCATTCAATTTTTCGTTCAAAAGTTATAAAAACTTCAAAATATTAGTTATACGTCACAACACAAAATGATAAATGGTAAATTGGTAAAGGGTAAAAGACATAAGTTGGTAAAAGAATTATTTGCGAAAAGAAATAAAAATTCAAGGGAAGGTAGGATCAGATCGGATCAGATCTCGATCCTACAATCTTACCTACGATCTTACGATCCTACCCCAAATATCATCCGTTTACAATCCGGATCGTTTTTCATACGATCAGGATTGTGATTTTGACAACCATGATTAACACAAATTAATAGACCAAATGTTTGTTATGTTTTATAAGACTTTAGAATTTTGTTTTAGGGTACTATTAATTCACATAATCTCTTTTATATATATATATATATATATATATATATATATATATATATATATATATATATATATATATATATATATATATATATCGAGAGAGAGAGAGAGAGAGATAGCAAAACCCTCACATATAAATACAAACATACATTCGTTTTTTTTACCTATACCATTCTTCTCTTTCTCCCATCTTATTACACAAAAATCAACCCCTTTCTCATTCAACCAAATATGGAGCAAAACCCGAACACCCCTCCTCCAAACACAAACACATTCATTCCGATGGAGTTCACACCATAGGAGAACTATATGAACCTACTTAAGGTGAAAACTTTTTAAATCCCGCCTCACCCTAATGCAATTTCGTGCATCGTCCCACATTCAACAAAACTCAAACCTTCAACAAAACTTTTTCAACACTTTCGCTTCCATGCCACAAACAACCACACAACCACCACCCACACAAGATACGGTTCTCGATATGCAAGCGGGAGGTAGTCGGAAACCTAGAGGGAAAGGGAAAACGATCTCGGAAAGTGAAGAAGAAACTCCAGTATGGTTGAGTGTGGAGGAGGGGTATGTGATGACTGTGGCGTGGTGCAAGACTTCAAAAAATCCAACTAAATGAAACGATATGAAGAGAGTTAGTTTTTGGGAAGTCGTGCTCAGAAATTTTCGCACAATTTTGAAAAAAGACGAGGCGTATCACAATACCGATATGCTTAGAAGCAACTGGAATCCAATTAATCGGAAGTGCACTAAGTTTAATGCAATCTACAACAAACTTTTTTTCGTAAAAGCAATGTGGTGCGAATGATTTTGATTTTTTCAAAGCTGTGAGGGAGCAATATCACGTCGAAATGGGACATGTTTTCGAGTAGGAAAATTTTTGGGAGATGGTGAGAAACGATCCAACATGGCTTAAAACGCCAACATCATCGGAGGTACAATCAAAGAGGTCGTGCAATTCGACTTCGTTTGACGTTTCTGACGCACGAAATAACATCGACCTCAATGCCGACGGGGTTGACATCCCTGACGAAATCAAATAGATATCCCCCCACATCGACTAGTCAAGTGCAACAAAGCGAAGCGCACTCAATGACACGCAGACGAAGCCAATAGAATGGCACAAGAGGTGGCGGAAATGAAAGAAAAGTTCGACCAACACAATCTAATCGCGCAACAAAAGGTTGAAGTGCAACGTGAGCACTTAGAGTTCCTTCGTAAGCAAGCAGATGAAAATCAAATAACAAGGGATTTAGCAATTCTTTAGACTAGCAAAGAAAATATAGGACCACGGCAAGTGCAAGTGCAAGAAAGATGAAGGAGAGGATCGAGAAGAAATCTATGGATGACTAGTTTGTTGTTTTTATGTTATTAAATTAGGACTATGGTTTTTTTATGTTCACTATTTTTTTGTGTAATGTTATTTTTAGTTTTTAAATGTTGTCGTTAATTTAGGATTTAATTAAATTGCATGTTTTATTTTATTTTTATAAGAATATAACGTGAATAAAAAAGGAAAAATAAAAACATAAATAAATCGAAAATAAATAAATTTAAAAAAAGAAAAATAAATGATGACATGGAAAATAGAGGGTGTTATAACATGTTATAATATGTTGTTCATTTCCTCCGATTGATATTATAACACCATGGTGACATGGGCATGTGAGATTGCACCTTTTTGGTGCCTTAACACGTTATAACATGTTGCCTACACCCACCAGTATTACTCTCCATTTGTGTTGTTGCCCTTTGTTATGATCACGATATGAAGCCACATAACACGCAAAAACGACGAAAGGGGGGTGTGTGCAGCCGTAGCGTTTCCGGCGTGTCAGGTCATAAAAACGGGAATGGGTGTTGCCCACACCGATTACTCTAACTTTTAAGTTTAAATTCCTATGTTGATTAGTCCACATACTTGATGACAGTAAATTATGGAGAGATCTCCCTATTCTAATAAAAGAATAGGTTTATTCTCCTTTTGCCATGTGTCACCCTATTTGACATCTTAATTAATGTCATGCCACAAACCTATTGATTCTCCATTTCAAATTTCAAATTTTAAGTTTTAAATTTTAAATTTTAAATTTTAAATTTCCTACTCTAATTACATTAAATTAAAACATTAGAATAAAAATTAAAATAAAGTTAATACATATTATAAGGTGATATAAAATTCATGTATTTATTTAAATCAACGATTATAATTTTATATAACTAAAAAATATATTTTAATCAATAATTTATTTAAAATAAATGATTAAAAATTTTGAGTTGCTAATATGAAAGTTAAATTAATTTTGTAACCGTGATTCTCACGGGTTATAAACTAATGAGTTAATATTTAGGTGGGAAACAAATTTGTTTGATATCTATAATTGCTTTTTATTCATATTAAATATCCAATAATTTCAATGTTTATGTAAAGATTATGCAATTTGAAATGTTTAATATATAACAATAACTTAATTTAAACTATTTGTGATGCGAAGTTGGTATAGAAGAATGATGCAAAGAACACTTATGACTTTGTCGTTTTGTAATCTGATATGTGGTATACTCTATAACGAAGAGAAGTATTTTTAGTCACATTATATGGTCAGATGTTTTTGAAAGATTGTGTTAGGCATACTAAGTATGGTCATCTGTCTATCGTAGATAGGCATGGTCATGTCATTTTGATATACTCTTCTAGTCTATAAATAGTGGGGTTAAGAGTCGTTCCAAATATGTCTTGCACTCTGAAAATCTTATCAGAAATACAAGTCTCATTTATTCATCAATGCTTATGTTGTTCATCGCTCATTAACTTCAAGCTTGAACGAAAGTCTGGTAAAGATTCAACTAAGTTATGTATTACTTGTCGTATGTTTATTTTGTAATCGTTGTTCTTATATTTCTGTATAATTATTCTTCATTCTACATCTTAAGTTATTATTGAGCTACTTAAAGATCCATCGAGATTAACTTACATTTTGCAATTATAATGTTTTATCAATGTTCTTCTCTCAACAATTGGTATCAGAGCCAAAGCGGTTGTTTTTTTAATTATTCTTAAAACACTAATCCTATCTTTTAAGAAAAAATTGTGATTTAAAAGTCTTCTATACCACTAAGCTCACTTTTCAAAAAATTTATGGATTATGGCATAATATTACTCTTTATACATATATAACAGTGTTTAGGTTCTAATCAAGCTCTAATACTTGTTGCAAGTGTGTACCATCACTGGTCTCAAAGTATGATGAGGTACTTGAAAATACTTGGCAAAGTTATTTGGAGATTTGTTGAGGAAGGAGCTCACCTTCCTATCATCACTCCTATCACCGACGAAACTAAAATCAGACTTGGTGGAGGCGCCACCATGTCTAGACCCATTGTTAGTGATATCTCCAAAATGGTAAACAAAGAAATTACATTTCATGAAGTGTTGTGGTGTTCCACCTGACATTTATGATCACGTTATCAATTCTAAGTCAGCAAAAGACATTTGGGAAACCCTCAAAAACATGTCTGAAGGGATAGAACAACTACAAGAAAAGAAGTTTAGACTTGCGCTGAACGATTTCAATGCCTTTAAATCTATTCCTGTAGAAAGTCTCGATTAATCTTTCAAGAGATTCAACCTGATCATCACCATACTTTTAAAT